ATTCTGTACTTGCCACTCCAGTAATCGCCTTGCGCTTTCCATCTTACTTCTGCCAATCCAGGAACATTCAGTTCATTTTTCGCCATCTCTATCTTCACATTCTCTAGTTTCTCGTTCATCATCATTGATCTGACATTCCAAGTACCGACTTTCAGTGTTTCAACTAGACGAAATAATCTGTTTTTCATTATTTTTATCGAAAATTAAAAAATTCATAACTCACTCAAAATTGTTTCAAACTGCTTCAAAATATCAAAATATACTCTATTGTATTTTTGCTACACCATGATCTTCAGTGATAGTTTCAACAAAACAGTAGAAAGTGCTTTGGTTTTTGAAACATTTTCTACAAAGCTTCGGGAATAAGACAATGTTTCATACTAACTTTTACTACAAAATACGCTTAAGCAAATAAAATGGAGTATCCCATGCAAATGAAAAAAGTAGTTCCATGGGTGCGGCGGGTACTCGGAAATAGGCCCTCGTCGAGGGCTCGAACTCTCGATAACTTATATCGAGGATGCGAAGTGTCATTTTGAGCCCTCGGCAAGAGCTCATCGAAAGCATATTTTCCAGCACTCGAAGTACCTCTCGATCAAGCAGTTGATCCCGATTTTTGAAAAACCAATTTTTCAGAAACTCTAACAAATAACCAATACCTTTATTAATAAGGCCTGATTGTAGCCTGTACATTTCTGATTAAAATGAGACATCTCCCAGCTCTAAACGGCTTTTCTTTGCAAAGTTATAGAATTTACAAGAAAAGCCCTAAATGTTCATTGTCACCTCAAAGCTACAGAAATAAGAAGAAATTAATTTAGGGGTTTTCTTGTAAATTCTATAACTTTGCAAAGAAAGGTCGTGTAGAGTTGGGAGACATCTCATTTTAATCAGAAATGTACAGGCTACAATTAATGAAGATTTTGGTTATTTGTTAGAGTTTCTGAAAAACTGGTTTTTCAAAAACCGGGACCTTCAGAGACCTTTGGGGAAAAACCATTGTGATATTCAGATTCAGCATGGCCGATTACCTATCACCCACTAGGTTTCGTCTCAAAAGCGATGGGACAGTTGGTGGCCTTTCCTTGCAAGATAGAACCTAGCCTAAAAACTTTTGAAAATCCCAAAAGGCTCTCTAGTTAACCTTCATCTAAATAGATCTCGACGGGATCCTTCATTTGAAACCAAACTGAAAGGTTTTCCATGCGGGATTTCGGTTCTACAAGCTTCACAAAAAGGGCATCTCTGTAGAAAAACGGTGAAAACTGAGCTTTTTTGCTAAGAAATAAAATGCATATTACTTTTCGCTGCACTCAGCTGGAGAGCTGCGGTTTTGGCCGGTGGAGTCAGCATCCCAAAGTGCATCTGGAGAGGTATATCTCGCCACTGGCATCGAAGGTCGATGTAATAGTGGTAGGTATCATATGGATTTATCCGATTATAATAGAATTCGGCTGGAGTTCGTATAAATTAAAACATTTAGTCAATGGCTTTATGAAATGAAAGATCTTTCAGATCCTTCCATATGTCTAATATGACATATTTATGTATCATTACGACACTATTTTGTGTGTGCATTTTGTCTGTCTGAATCGTCAGGCAATGGGATAGAACCAAACAAAAAAAATTATGTTCTTTTAAAAATGCCCTTGGCTCAGTGGTTAGAGGTTCGGACCTATTACCAGAGGATCCTGGGTTCGATTTCCGGTAGAGGTATACATTTTCTTTTTCACGTGTTGGTCTGTCATATCATGTCTCTTTCCCAAACGAATAAAAATTCATCTTCTGGTATATATTAATCGATTACGTCACATAAAACAGAAGACCAAGGCGATTGATGTGATGAGGAGGGTGCAATATTGCTGCGTCATCTTCGACTTATTTTGTCTGGTCAAACGATCATGAGCGAAGATGATGCGATGTCTTGCATCATACACAATCTAGGTTTTCTCAAGTGCCAGGACCTAAAACATAGGTGATATAGTTGACAAATAATTCAATTATCTTTTGTTTTAGCACCAAAAATTGTAACAATTCATAATTGGACAATAGCATTAACATGTCGCGTTGTTCAAGCACTAATATTAGCCTATACTATTCTTTGGGTAATGTGGCTTCAAAAAGGTTATCAAGCAATCGATACAGCAATTATTAGTTCTGTTACAATAAAAGTAAAAGGTATCGGTGTCTCTTATAATAAGCCAAACGAACCAATTACAGTCGATAGTGCTGATTATATTATACCACCACAAGAGAACAATGCTCTATTTATAATGACAAATTCTATTAAAACTGATCAACAACGAAAAAAATGTGGTGAAGGTTTTGATATTCGGGAAGCAGCATGTACAAATCATTCATATTGTCTAGCAAAAATGAAACAACTTTCAGCAAAAGCAAATGGTCGTTGGACAGGTATTTGTCGAAAAGATACGAATAGTTCATCACTCATAGGACGCTGTGAAATAGAAGGATGGTGTCCAGTTGAAGATGATTCAGTAAAAACAAAACCAGTTACTGATTCATTAAATTATACAATATTTGTTAAAAATTTTATTGAATTTCCTAAATTTAATACAGCTCGTACCAACATTGGTTTTGATGCAAACTATTTAAAAAACTGCATATTTCATCCTAAAAAAGAACCACATTGTCCAATATTTCGTGTTAGTGATTTACTAAAACTTGTTGAAAATGATGATGATGAACGAAGTAAAATGTTAGCATCTGGTGGTGTTATTCGAATTAAAATTGATTGGAACTGTAATCTCGATAAACCGTTAAACGAGTGTAGACCTGAATATACATTTGGTCGTTTAGATTCACCATATAAAGTTGAAAAATTTAGCTTCGGCTTTAATTTTCGTTTTGCATCACATTGGAAATATTCTAATCGTTCATTTCGAACATTAACAAAAGCATTTGGATTAAGATTTATTATTACTGTTACTGGAAAAGCTGGCAGATTAAATTTTCTAACATTAACATTAAATATTGGTTCGATGATTGGTGTTTTAGGTTTAGCAACAGTTATTTGTGACATTGTGGCATTAAACTTTGGTAAAAAAGGAAGTGTCTATAGACAACAAAAATTTCAAATTATAGATTTCGATACGAAACTTCCAGAATGAACAAAAAGAATTAATGATAAAACTAAGATGAAAAAGCTGGTGATAATGTGTCTAAAAAAAGAGCACATAACGATGATTACTTATACAGAGGATGATGTGTAAGAGTTTTTTCTTACTTTTTCATCGTTTCGCCATCATACATCAAACTTTAGGTCTTCCTTGTGGTATCGTAGCTATGTAAAAATTTCTCCACTCGAGTTCAGGTTCAAGAACGATTGGACATTTGAGTATTTTCAACAGACAGTGATTTCAAGTTATATTGTAAACATTTTACTATGACTTGTAAATTTTTATATTAGAAATAAAATTCAGAGCAATGATGATGAACGAGAAACTAGAGAATGTGAAGATAGAGATGGCGAAAAATGAACTGAATGTTCCTGGATTGGCAGAAGTAAGATGGAAAGCGCAAGGCGATTACTGGAGTGGCAAGTACAGAAT